AGAAAGGGAAAAAAGAAAGGAAGAAAAAGAAGGGTAAAAACGCAAGAAGATTCACCAACCTCAACATTTCAGAAAAAGAGGACTTAAACCTCTACCTCCAGCTCCCAAAGCTGGTATTCTCCATTAAACTACCTTCTGACTCCCCCACACCTAAACTGCCCGAACTGCCCCACATGATAAACCCCACACCAACTCTAATACCACAAACAGTGTTAAAAACAAACCTCACCCCACCACCATAAACATCCCCGCTCCCTAAGAATAAAACATAGCTACCCCACTAAAATCCACTCGGACCACAGCACTCCCCCCACAATCTACCGTTCCCACTCATCATTCCTCCAATCCTACAAAATCTCATATCACCCCACCCATTAAAATTACTACTACAAACCCCACTCCATACCCCAAAACTCGTCAATCTCCCCAAGCCTCAACATAAGGATCCGCAGCCAGAGACACGCAGTACACAAACACCACTAGCATCCCCCCCAAGTACACCAAAAATAGGGCCAATGAAATAAAGGATACCCCCAGACTCAATAACCATCCACACCCTACCACAGACCCCACTACCAGACCCATCGCCCCATACTGCGGCGATGGGTTTGATGCCACTGCCAAAGCACCTAAAATAAAGCAAACCCCTAAGAAAGATACAAAATATGTCATAGTTCTTGCTCGGCTACTATCCAAGGACTGTAGTCTGAAAAACTACCGTTGTACTCAACTACAAGAACATCCATAGATCTACAATTTCATTAACATTTCATCATTAAAATTAAAATGAGCTAAATACAAAGATACTTTTTGTGTAACAGACAAAAAATATTACCTTTATACTTAATCCAAATCCTCCCACAGTTTGTCTTCTAATTGTTACTGTTCTTTCCTGAAAAAAAAAGTTAAATCAGAAAAGTTACATTTAATATTTTCTGGGGTAACATCAACAGTCACACTAGAATGTTTCTATGCCATCCTCCTACATCATTTTTTTCTCATTATAATGAGAAAATATTTCAACTTGTAAATTCCCGAATGATAAAATTCCACAAAACCCATGGTGCAGGGGTAAAAGATGAAATCTGGAGGAAAGTTAGAGCTTCTGCCTCAGACAAAAAGAAAATCATGTGTTCAATTCACACCTTGCTGCCTGCACGTGTAAGCAACATCCAGACTCACAACCACCCAGGACGGATCAGCAGAGCCCAGCAGCCTTGTCAAACTCAGCACCCACAACCCAGGACACTTCAGGGGTCCTGGCTGGTCCCGTGGGCACAACGAGCACTAGAGGCTGCAGAGCCCCAGCTGCACAATTTCTAGTTTAGTTTCATCCAAAGGAACAGAGCTTGTACACTTCAAAAGCACTCAGTGATGTGAATCAAAGCATAAGTGCAGATAATCCAGAAATTCATTTTAAAGCGCATTCCTGATCCAAATTTAAAGGCTAATAGAAACAAACCTACTGTTCAACCTAACAGCTATGGCTTAACAAATTGTAATAGATGATTTAAAGGGTGCTATGGACAGCATTATTTAAAGCACCCCATTTTTTCTTTTTATTGTTCATCCTTAAAATTTGTTACATAAACCTCATAGGCTAGGATACTGACTAACATTAAATGAAAGCTAACATAAAACAAAATACTTTTTTTTAAGTCTTCCCCGTTGACTTTATTCTCAAAGATCAGTCAATTTAGTCAGCAGCAAAAAAAAAAAAAAAAAAAAAGCCCCAGCTGTCTGTGCAGATGAGCAGACACAGACTGTGCGGACACGACGAGGCGCTCGGGGCCATGGTCCAGCAGGGCGGCATCGAGGGCCTGCGGTTGGACTCGATGATCGTGAAGGGCTTTTCCAACCATCATGATTTTATGATTCTATGATTTTTATGTTCTCATTTCTTTATACTGTCTGTATTTTATACTCACCTTACTACATATAATTGCCTAACACAAGTGTGAACATGCATTTTATCTAAATAGAGACTCTCACATTTCAACCCAATCATCAGAGATGTCATTCAGATTTGCTCAGACTATAGACCAAATGTTCTTTAGCACGTTAAGGCTGGACTATAACTTGGTCTTCATGGCTACCAAGTAGTGATCAGAAGCACAAAGCATTCTTCAGACTTGTGCCAAACAAATCCCAAGAGCAGAGTCCTCGCCAGCCCCTCAGAGCAGATACCACCTTCATCCACAGGAAGGAAAAGGAGGAGGGAGGGCAACCATGTAACAGCCTTGGAAAACTGATATTGCCATTTTGGGGAGAGAATACAGCTGTCTTCTTTCTTTCTCATATTTATGATAAATATGAATTGTGTAACTGCAGAAGGAGCAAGGATAAACTTGTTCAGTGATTTTGATGGCAAGACAAAAAGCATTGCCTTAAGTGACTCTATGTTTATTTCCTTACAGGCTGGTATTTCTATGGAAGAGCCATGTAATTTTGTTGTTAGATAGACACAATTTTCATTTTATTTTATTGAATTCTATCAAAAATTATGCTTTCATATTTTTCACCCACAAATGAACTCATAGCATGGCAGTAGAAAAACGCACAGCAAAGCTGATCCATCGCCGTGCCGAGCTGCTCAGCCAGACTGAGAGGCTTCTTCACTCTCAATTCAAACCTTCATGGTGAAACTAATGCAGCCAGAAATTGGATTCAGATCGCAAAGATATTTCACCTCAGGCCACTAACTGCACTTAGAAAAACCGTATGTCCATCAGGAGATTTCAACCACAACTAGTGCTGTGGAAAAACTGGGTTTAAATATGGGCCACAGCCTGATGCATGGTCTAACCTTACACACAGGATCATGAAATAGGGTTCTCCCGGCTCTGTGGTTCTGCTGCTGGCTCTTATCTGCTAACCTGGCTTCATTTCCAGCTCCAGGCTCTGATAAATATGTAGCTAAGAACCAAAGCTGGATGGGAAATATGTTCTAATGTATTTTTGTGATACATTTTCAAGTTGGAAATACTGGTGTTGTTAAGAAATTGTTTAAAAACAAGTGCCAGTCTCAAGAATTAAGGTAAAGTGTCTTGATAATACTAAATTAACCATGAATGGAATAAAGAATAACATAGTACAGTGAAATATGAAGAGAAGTAAATATGCATCAGTGAAGAGCATAAATCTTTGTTAAAACTTGTAGTTCATTATACGTTACTAGTACCAGTAAATTAAACAGTTCTATCTGAATTTATTCTAAGCTAGAGCTATGCTTTTAAAAAGCATAGTAGAAGGTTGTCCTGCAAAATAACATTTTAAAAACTATCTTTTTTTTTCACACAAGCACACATGTAAAATGTCAATAAGATATCCTGTCTTTCACCCAAGACAGAAATATGCCAAGTGCAATTTGGGCCATCTAAGAGGAAACTGGAAATAATTAAATCTGAACCTGGCATTACATGTTATACATGTTATACATTCCATTAGTAACTGATAATTAATAATCTGTGATTACTAAACTCACAGTGAAAAGGCTTCTCCAGACTGTTAGAAGAATCGCACATTTCATTGCTCCAGAATCTTGGCTCAGGATCAGCTCTTAGCTCTGCTCAATAACTCTTTTAACCAAAAGGTTAGAAGAAAAAGAATAGGACTCATCTAACCAAAGTCAGGTCATTTAAAATTTATGCATTGGTCAAGCTCAGCTTTTCTAGCTTTCAGCAGACAAAAACAAATATCCTAAATCCAAGCAGGTCATTGCTGGTGCCTTCCTTAGATGATAAACATCTTCTCACACTGTGTCTGCCCCTCACCGAATAGAGAGCCGAGGTGTTAAATACATCCTTGGAAAGATGAATCCAACCTAAAAGCCCCTCAGAAGGGTGGTCTCGTCCCTTACACAGGTAGTTTGTATTGATATTGTACATTGGTTGAGTTTGCACTCAATATACACTGCAACTTCCAAAAGCAACCTCATCTGTGGGCTCACACGAATAAAAGTGATTCCAATGAAAAATTATTTGATACAATGACCAAAGAAAACATCCTGTGACATTGCAATCCCATTATCACATTTTTAACCACATTACCACATCTTGCTAAACAGAGAAGATGATAGAGCAAGATTCAGAGGAGTGTTTTAGAAGCTGCTTCCTGGAAGACCATTAAAGCAGTTCTCATTTTATTCAAACGCTCAAAGCTGTTGACAAGTTGTCATTATTCTCTATGCCTCAAACTCAGAAAATTCTTCACTCAATGAACAGATGTTCACTGACTGTGAGACAAAGCTAAAAGTGCTGCCAAGAAAGAAAAAACAGTATTTTATAGGCTTTTATTACAATTTATTAAAATTTCTGCATAAACAGGCAGTTAACTTTCCTGGGATCACAGACATTGTCATAAATAAGATATGAGTAAAAATGACTATGTGAGAACATAAAAAAGTAAATAATCAAGGAGAGAAAATATGGGACCTTATGCAGTTATAAACTATTTACATACTGTCAAGAGTTAATGCTATTTATAGCAGCTTAAAGCTTAGGCACAGTAAAGATTGAAATATTGCATACTAACTACAGTGGGGTATAAAGCAGAGTTCACTTGATTGATTCTTAATAATAGTGATTAATTACTAATATTTCCAATTTATTCTGTCAAATATATGCCATTCCAATAACTTGCCTCTGTGGAACTACACAATTGCAGCTGAACAACAGAATCAAGAAACTTCAAAACTCTTCACACTATTGACCTAAGAGGAATGAAACTTCAGCTTCCCACATTCAACCCTTTGATCAAGATATAAATGTTGTATTTTCAGTTTGGGACTTTGTGTACGGTTAGAGTTTATCCAAATTCAGGCAGAAAACAAGAACTCAGCTACGGACCAGACACAGAGGAACTACAATTTTGAAAAAAATAATGGAAAAAATATGAATGTGGGGGAGGAAAATAGTAAGTAGAAAAGTACTGTGCATTTGTCATGTGTATTCAGGACAAACATGCAATACGACAGTGATAGGGAAAACCACAGAAAGAAATATAGCGAAACCATTAGAATACAGTTTTAAGAAATAAATAAGGAAATACATAGATATAATCAAGGTGTTGGCAGCAAACTCAGGGGTCAACCTCTGTCAGCGTCCAAGGACAGTAACTAAGGGCACAGTGCCCTGTGGTTCAGCTGGAGCTGGCAATCCCGCTGTGTCTCCATGGCTGGCAATGCCAGGGGCAGGGAATGCCGCGAATCCCTCTGCTCCAACACCATCCCCAGGGATCCAGCCCTGGCTCCCTTCCCACCACATCCGCCTGCAAGCAGAACCATCTGCCTCAGTTGTTGCTTGTCCAAACCCTACTGCAAGGTGCCAGCTCAGCTTAATGTTAACACACGGCGAAACGCACAATTAAACACAATAGAGGAAATAAACCCAACACGAGTATTAATTATTTTAAAATTCTATTTCTTCCTTCATTTTTTTCTACTTATCAGTTTTGCCAGTGTTAATTGGACTTGCTCTAAATACACCAAAATACATGGAAAGAAAATTTTAAACTCTCAAAAATAATCTTCCAAAGTAAAAGATTTAAAATTAATTCCCAATAAGTATCCACAATTCTAAAAATGTACAAGAAAGGCAAAAGTAATATCATTTGACTGGTCAGATAAGTAACAGTTAAGTGGCATATTCTGAATATATACTTAAAAATAAATAATAGCTTTACTTTGAAAAAAGTATGGAACTGTGTGAAGTTTACAAAGTGAAAAGTCAGTGCAACTTTTTTTGAAATAACATATGGAGTTTGTATAGAGTTACAATTTTTTTTAATATACTTGATTTCACAAAAGCAAGAGGATAAAATTAAAAGTCAGATAAACTAAGCTATCTTTACAAGAAAAAAAAGAATTTTTGTGAGACTAATAAACTTAGAAATCAAATCTGGCTACTGTTACAGAATTTAAGTTAGCATTACTTTCTGACCTTGAAAAAAAGTATTTATTGATGAAAGTCTTCTATCTATTAAAAGAACAAATTATAGCCCATAAGTCCCATTCAGATACATTTGTAACAAACTCAGCCAAATCCTTAGAGAAATGCTATAATATTCCATGAGAGTCATTGCACCACAAATTTACAGAAACGTGCATCTGTGGTTAGTTTTGTATTAGTATTGAAAGCATGAATGACCCTCACATCAATCTTCCACAAAGATCCTCAATCAAAAATACTAAAAGAATTAGGAGTTTAATTAAGCATAGAGTTTGAATACTCAGAGCAAATGTGTCTTTTCCTCAGGTGAGTTACTACTATTTATTTCAGACAATTCCATGACTTTTCAGTAGAATCCTTAAATTAAGAAAATGATGCAAGGACCCAAGGTGTTAGCATTTTGCCATCTGCTCCTAGCTTATTTTTGATCTTTTAGAAAAACAATAGCTGATTTGAATCATCCATCTTGTTGGACAGCACACTGCCATATCCTGGGCTTATGGAGATTATACGCAAATACATTCTAGTAGAAAAAACTGCTTGCTTGAGGAGGAATTAGCAAACAAGTAAAGATTATTAAAAAGGAAAAAAAATCTAGCTCCCTGGAAAGACACATTATTTTTATTGATAAAACACAATAATGCATTTACTTGAATTGTAGATGTTCACAGGAGGTGATAGAAATTATTCAGATGTGTAACACACTTGTAAAGATTAAATTTTTTCCTAGAAAAAGTCAGATCAAACATAGAATATTTCAGAGGTCTATCTTCCCTTTTCATCATGATCTGTCACAGGCCCCTTGTTAGACCAGTCTATACACCTAAAAAGACTGGGGTTTGCCTTAGCACACACTAACATCTTGAACGGCATGTGGCAAACTTCTGTGAGGTTCATTTCATGTAATTCAAGGGATATGTTTATAAGGAATTATGAATTAAAAATATTTGGCACTTCTGCCAGCAGTGCTGCAGCTCCTGTGTGCTGGTGACTAAGCTGTTTTCAAGGGATTTTTTTTCCCTCCTCTGATGAAAAGAACAAAAATCCTGCCTGGTCTGCACCACAAGTAACTCTTGTGGTGATTTTTGAAGATCGAAATAAAGCAATGTGTTTTATAATTTTGAAATAGCACAATTTTGTGACATCTCGTGACAGTCCAGCACCCTAAGGATAAAGCAGTGTCCAGCCTCACGGTCACTCTCCTCGCACACGGATCCGTGGACACCCTGGGCACACACAGATCCACACACGCACACCGCACGCTGCAGCAGCCCCTCCTGCAGGGATTGCATCGTCGCTTCCACAAAACGCTCTCATCTCGGCCTTTGTCACTGGCACCTGAGCCCCATCCGCACCGGGTATCGCACAGCAGCACAGAGCGCAGTTCTCTCTCTTGGAAAGGAAATCTTTCATGATGTCTCGATTAAGAAATCTCTGCAACACCTATTGGTGAAACTGATGCTTGAATTTAGATCTCGTCCATGATCATCTGGAGAGACACACTTAAGGGAATTGCTACAGGTACAAGGGTTGCAAGAACCTTATTAGCACTGGCATGGTTCAAGCTGCTAAAGAAAGGGAGAAGCTTTCCTTGCTAGAGTTTAACACTGTTTTAATCCTATGCTGCTTGCAATCTTTTACAGATTTTATCTAAATTGTACATAAAGAAAGAAGAAATTTTCTTTGCATCTCTTTAGTTTTGGGAAATTACGATAATTTTCCACTAAAAACTGAATATTCCATATTAAAAATGAGGTCCTCCTCTCATACCTTCCCACAGCCTACTAGGGTCCATTGATTTCACTTGCATTATCCTACAACATGCAGATCAGGATACCAAGAGAATGCTAAACACCTGCTTAAGGTCTCACCAACACAGAGAGTGTTCAAATTGCTTCATACTTGAACAGCAAAGACACTATTCTCATCTGGAAACAGAGTAATAGCATTGGGTTCCTAAATAGTTCCTAAACAGAGTTGAAACGTAAACTTATAATCAAATCATCTCAAGACTATTAAGACCTAAAAGGAATTCGACTGCTTGTCTGTAAAACTGAACAACACTATTGTTCCTCAATTACAAAGCATGCATATTTTTCAATTAGAGTCTTATTTTATGGAACATTCAGTGTTAGTTTCTAATCAGACCACTAGTCTGATGAGATCACTGAATAAAGCTTGCAAAAGAAAAACAGACATGGTCAGTCATCCAGAATGACACTAAGAACACAGCAAATTCAACCAAGCAAAATAAAAGGTAGGACAAGTACACAAACAAGAAAGCAACCCAATAACATCAGGCATAAAAACAGGAAAAAAGTGGAAAAAGAAAGCCTGTAGGACTGATCCAATCATGCCAAACAATCGAAGCAGATGATTCTGAAGATGTAAATGGCCTGTGACAAAAGGACAGCTAACTGTCCATTAAATGCCAATCATCCTTAGCTAGAATGAACCTACTGAGTCAAGACCCAGTCTTAATCCCAGAGGAAATCAGGGAATCAGTGACTCAAAAGTCACTATCTAAACAATAAAACTGCCAAGGGAAAAGAAACTACTCATCGCCGCATTAATACCAATCTGTTAATGAGTTATGCATTCACTATGCAAATGAAATAGGACAGCATAATCAATGAAGAAAATTATCTTCTACAATGCTGCTGTGAAACTAAAGAGGGTAAAATTATAAAAGAAACTCTTGCTGTGAAAAAAAACCCACGCATTTCATGAAGACGTTTAAATGCCACGTTCAGCAGAAGTAACAGATACCAAAGCACATTAATGAAAGTCGTATTTCTGAGTGATAAAATCTCTTAATAAGCCCCCACGCCGGGGTTGGAGCCGTGGTGCTGCTCACTGAGCTGCAGCCCAGCGCCAGCTCGAGGACTCCCTTGTGCCTGAGCTGCTCAGGACCTTCATGGTGCTGAAAGAAACAGGACACGTTGGCTGGTTAAAAGAAACGTCCACTTTCCATGCACCCATATGAATAAATCTATACTTTAAACTGTCAAAAAGCAAATAGAAAATCAGTCCCTGCAAATTAACCCCATGTATATGGACACAACGAGGACAAGGTGACCCTCCTGCCTCAAAGGAAAACTCAGAAATATTCTCCTTGAGATGTTCAGCCTCAAGTTGTTTTGTCTCAAGATGTTTTAGTCCAGTGGATCTTCCTACGCATTCACCACTGGTCTTCCACAGAACTAACATTATAAATGTTTTATCTTTTTTCTTTTCTGTTTTATGCTTTGTATCTTTTTATTACACTCATACATTAAGATACAGGAAC